TTTATCCTTGGAAGAGTGAGGATATTTTTGAACTCCCTAACCTTAAGTCAAGATAAAATGGAGCCATCACTGCGGGCCCCAACAATCATCTTTTGTGGATAAGGCTGTTGTAGTTTCCCATTGAAGTTAATCACAGAATATGGTAGGACTAAGAGATACACTAAAGGATCTTCTGCACTGAAACATGATCCTTCTTACTCACTGGGTAGAGGCATTCCAAGTTCCCCATTTTAACATCGTTCAATCACCCTTCCTAAAATTGTTAGGAGTGTTTAGCTGTTATAGGCAGTTCCATTTTGTCTCATCTGCTTCTCAAAAATAACCAAAAAGTCCTGATCTCACTGACACCCATGTCTCAACAGATCACCACATAAAGCAATTCACTCACATTCATAGGGCCCACATTCAATTTGGTCCCATGTTCACCAGTACTCAATCAATAGTCCTTGAGAACCCAGTAGTTTGGGTCAGCTGTCTCTGTGGATTTTCCCCAACATGCTCTTGATCCCATTTTTTAGATGATCTCTCCACCCTCTCTTCAACTTAACTCCAGGAGCTCAGTCCAGTACTTGCCTATGGATCTCCATATCTGCTACATCAGTTATTGGATGACGGGTCAATGATGACTATTAGGATAATCACTTACCTGATTAAGGGGAAGGCCAATTCAGACATCCTCTTCACTGTTGCTAGGAGTGTTGGCTGGGGTCAACCTTTGGATTCTTGAGAATTTCTGTAGCACCAAGTTCCTCCCTAACCCCATAATAACTCCCTCTATCAAGATATATGTTTCTGTTTCATTGTTCTTCCTCTGCATCCATCACTCAACCCAGCCTTCTAGATCCCCCCTTTCCCTCCCTTCTATACCCCTCCAAGTTTACCCAGGAGATATTAACTATTTTCCCTTCCTGTGGCTCTCCATGTGTGTCCCTCGTAGGGTCTTCCTTTTTAGGGCAGTCAGCTTCATTATTAACCCAATCACAGTAACAAATATTCAAAAAGAGTAAAGGAATATTCCATGGTTTTTGCTTTTTTCAGACTGTATGATTAATGTCATTAGAAGCCCAACATGCTCAGGGGAAGTCTAAACTTAAAATAAAATAATGTTTCTACTCTTGGTATGTATGCTCTGCTGTCTGGAACTAGGAGTTCTAGAGTAGCAGAAATTAATGTTGAGGGAACAGGAAGGCAAAATTATCTTCTGTTTTTGTTTTTTTTTTTCTTTTTCTTTTTCAAGACAGGGTTTCTCTGTGGCTTTGGAGGATGTCCTGGAACCAGCTCTTGTAGATCAGGTGGCCTTGAACTCAAAGAGGCCCGCCTGCCTCAGCCTCCAGAGTGCTGGGATTAAAGGTGTGTGCCAACACCTCCAAGCTGCAAAAACTTATTGTGGATCATTAGAAGTGATAGTAAGATGAACTATATGTTTTCCCCCTCCCGGGACACCTGGATCCTCGCTATGGGAGAAAAGTTACATTTTTGGACACAGATTCAAGGCATATACTGCCTTCTGGAGAACCCTGCCACAGAACTGCAGGCTGCTGTCACCCATTTGGTCCTGTAACTGCTGTTTGAAAGGCTATTTCTTCTTTCTATATGCCAGTGTATATACACACTCACACATGTATATGTATATGTATGCATGTGTGTGTATATATGCATACATCAATATGTGAGTGTCTATCATGGATTTATTGCAATGACTTACAGGTCCTGGTCATCTATTACATCAATAACTAGCTGTAAATGAAAAAAAAAAAAACAGTAGTTGCTGCATCCACAATAGTGGATGATTTAGATGGTCTTCATTATTTGCTGGAATCCCATAGAAATAGTATTCAATGTCAGTGAAAGAATGGATGTGCTTACAAAGAAATGAGCTAATGAGCCAAATGCTTTATTCTTCCTTGTCATTAAACAGCCTTTCAGTAGAAGGTGTGAAGGTGTAACTTCCAGCCAGAAGATTGTTTTCAAAGTTGTATGTCTTCCCACCTCAAAGATCTGGACTGCAAGTGAATTCTCCCCTTTTGACCAAGCAAAAATCATCTTTTACAGGTGTTCCATCCATTTCTGAATTGTAATTTATTCCAGATGATGTCTAGTTGACAACCAAGAGTAGTCATCACACCGAGTAATACCAGAAATTACATCTATAAAATCTCACCAATGGGTGGAGAGATGGCTCAGAGGTTAAGAGCAGTGGCTGCTCTCCCAGAGGTCCTGAGGTCAATTTCCAGCAACGACACGGTGGCTCACAAACATCTGATATGAGATCTGGTGCCCTCTTCTGGTGTGCAGATATACATGGAAGCAGAATGTTGTATACATAATAAATAAATTAAATTTAAAAAATCTCACCAACATGCACACCTAATATGAGCAAAGCAACAAGTACAATGGATATGACAAAGTTGATGGGAAAATGCCCACCAGTTCACCACCTTACACAGAGAACTACAGGCAGCTAGGGAGTTCTGGGAGCAAGGGACATTGTCTCCCCTCAGAAAGAGCACAATTGGTTATTTAATACCTCCTGTAACTTTGGTGTTTTGTTTATAATGTGGTGAGGGGACTTCTTTTTGTGGTTCAGTCTATTTGGTGTTCTTCTTCTACTTTCATAAGCATATGCTTCTTTAGGTTGGGGAAGTTTTCTTCTATAATTTTGTTGAATATGTTTTCTGTACCTTTGAGCTTGATTTCTTCACCTTCTTCTATACCTATTATTCTTAGGTTTGGTCTTTTCATGGTATCCCCTATTTACTGGACATAGTTTACTTCTATGATTCTGTTGAATGAGTTTTCTGTCCTTTGGCCTGTATTTCTTCACCTGCTTCTATACCTATTATTCTTCTATTCAGCCTTTTCACTTTGCCCCATGTTTCCTGGATATTTTGTGTCAGAGATTTGTTGGACTTGAGATTTTCTTTGGTCGATGACTGTATATCCTCTAGTGAGTCTTCTACACCCGAGATTCTCTCTTTGATCTCTTGTATTCTATTGGTTATACTTACATCTGTGGTTCCTGATCATTTGCCCAGCTTTTCTCTTTCCAGCATCCCGTCATGCTGTTTTTTTATTTCTCTGTGTAGCTTTAGAGCTTTAGAGCCTATCCTGGCACTCGCTCTGAACTCACAGAGATCCTCCTGCCTCTGCCTCCCGAGTGCTGGGATTAAAGGCGTGTGCCACCAACGACCAGCGTTGAGTGTGTTCTTATTCTGTCATATTCCCATCCCTTTTCCAGTGGGTGGAGGTGAGTTCTCCCTCTTCTCTAGTATCCTCATTCAAAGAGCAGAGGCCAGAGGGGGAACTAAGAGAGAGGTGTGTCCATACTCAGGGTGATCCTTCCTGTCTGGGCCAGTCAACTCTATGGGAGCCGCAGAGACAGGAAGATCTGAGGAGTGTGTGATGGGGGAGTTGGGTCAGGACAGTGCTAGACTTACCTCAAGCAACAGGCAGAGGGCAGAGGTGTGGCCAGACTCAGAGTTGTCCTTCCTGCCTGGGTGGCTCCACTCAATGAGAGGAGCAAACCCAGGAAGATTTCACATGTAGATGATTGGAGGTTTGGGGGCTACAGCAGTGCACAGACTCACCTCAGGAAGCAGGCAGAGGGAAGAGGGCCAACAAAGGTGAGGTGTGGCCAGACTTACTGTGGGCCTTCCTGTCTGGGCATTTCCACTCTACTCAAGGGGCTGGCTCCGGAAGAAGCATGGAGAGGGTGATGGGGGGGGGAGAGTTGGGACCATATAAAACCACAGACTCACCACAAGCAGAGGGCAGAGGGTAGAGGGGCAAGCTCTTGATTCAACTTGTTCATATGATCACTCCTCCCTCTCTTCAACTGAACTCTAGGAGTTCAGGTCAGTGCTTGACTGTGAGTAACTACATCAGCTTCTGTAAATTCTAAGGTGACAATTAGAGTAGTCCCTAACCTGATTAAAGGTGCAAGGCCCATTCAGGCACCCTCTGCACTATTGCTAGGAGTCATAGCTGGGGTCATGCTTGTGGATTCATGAGGATTTTTCCAGCACCAGGTTTCTCCCCAACCACACAATTGCTCCCGAAATCAAGATATCCTTGTCATTGTTCTCACCCTCTGTCCCTCCCCCAAAACAGCCTTCTGGATCCCTCATGTCCCATCCACTTCCTTATACTTCCCTCCCAATTTACACAGGAAATCTTAACTATTTTCCCTTCCTGTTGCCCTCCATGTGTGTCCCTCTAAGGGTCCTCCCTTCTAGGAAGGTCACAGTCATTATTAACCCAATAAGAGTAACAATGGTCACAAAGAGAAAAGATATATTCCATGGCTACTTCGTAGTCTGTAGGTTTAAGGGCATTAGAAGCCCATTGTGACCAGGGGGAGTCTCAGCTTCCATTTCAAAGAATGTTTGTTTCACCTCTTGGCAGGAATGCTCCCCTGTGTGAAACCAAGACTTCTAGACCAGCAGAACTTAATGTTGAGGGAACAGGAAGCAGAATTTTCCTAGCTTATCATTAGGGGTGATAGTGAGAGGAGCTATTCGGCATTCCTCTCTGTGAATCCTTGGACAACTGGACCCTCGCTATGGGAGAAAACGTACCATGTAATGGACATGGATCCAAAACATACACTGTCTTCTGGAGAGCCCTGTCACAGCCCTCCATGCTGTTGCCACCTAACGTCACTGGACATGTTTCATTATTAAAGGCCATTACTTCTTTCTATGAGCCCTGGTGCTTCAGGACACTCACTCTCCCTCTGTCTTATCTCTCTCTCTCTCTGTGTATGTGTGTTTATGTGTGTGAGTACATAAGGTGTTTATTGGAATTATTTACAGGCTGCTGTCCAGCTAATGCATCAGTGACTAGCTGAGAAGGGAACATCCAAAAATCCAGTAGTTGCTTTGTCCACTGTGCTGGATGATTCAGCTGGTCTTCAGTATATGCTCACACCCAATAGAAATAGGCCTCAATGCCAGAGAAGGAATAGATGTGTTTTCAAAGAAATGAGCTAACAAAAGACAATTAGTCCAAGGCTTTATTCTTGTCTGTCTTCATAGTGGATTCCAGGTGAAGGTGTGGCTTATGTGACTGATGTTACTTCCAGCCTAAAGAACATTTTAAAAGGAGTGTCTGGACTGCAAGTGCATTCAGCCCCTTTAACAAAGTAGAAATAATCTCTCACAGGTGTTTGTCCATTTCTGAATTTTAGCTTTTGCAGATAATGTCAAGTTGAACACCTAGAGAAGCCATCATACCTAATAATGCCAGAATCTTTATTTCAATAATCTCACCACCTTTCACACATATTGGAAACAAAGCAATGACAACTACAAAGGACATCACCAGTGGATGGGAAAAAGACCACCAGGGCCCAACCCCACACAGAGAGCCGTAGACAACCAGGGAATGCTGGGAGCAGGAGACATGCTCTCCCCTCCAGAAAACACAAAACTACTGAGGGTACACTCAGTAGTAGGGGTATGTGCGGCAGCCTTATTGAAGACACCCATGGCCAGGCAGGAAGAGCTGGAGCAGTGCAGAGCAATGAGTCTGTGGGAGGTCCCTTCCTAGGCTCCTTGAAAGCCAAAGCAGGCTTGCTTCTCAGGAAGAAACTCAAATCCCCAGCTGCTCTGGATGCCCAACCAATGTCAACCTCCTCTGTGCCGCCTGCCCCTAGTTACCCCTCCCTACTTCCAACATCCCACCAGCAAGGGAAATAAGTCCCTGGGCAGATGTTTGTATTCAGGCGTCTATACTGTCCTGCCCTTGGGGTTCTGATAGGATATGCCCATAGCTGCAACCACCAAGAGCACTCACTACCTGTGCACATTCACAAATTTCCCTTTTATATGGACCTGGCCTACTTTTGATATTTCCTTCTTCTTCTTGGCCTATCTTTCCAATGAACAAGAAGATGGCAATTACAAGAGTATATTTTCAGAAGCATGACTTTTGAGATACACAGATAAATTAGAGACAAAATTAATTTTGTCTGCATTGTGATTTCTTTTGTTTGGAGACAGGATTAATGCAATCGTTGTTGTCTTGGAACTCACTCGGTCCATCACAAAGGCCTTAAAGGCTTACACTACCATGCCTGGCACTGTTAGGACAAAGATAAACGTTTTTTTCACAGCTTTTCCCAGGGTTGGAGATATCACTTAGTGGTTAAGAACACAGGTTGCTGTTTCAGAGGACATGGATTTGTTTGCCAACAAACACAGCAACTCACATTTGCCTGAAACTCAAGCTTTGGGGATTCTGGCCTCCACCTGAAGCAGGAATTCATGCAGTGCACAGTAAAACAAGCAAGCAAAACACACATACATAGTAAGACACATAAGATTTTACTGCAGTAACATTGAGAGAATTTTAATTTGGCATAAACCCTGTGATATTTTCTAAGATATAACTTCAAAAAAAGGTTTTCATAAGTTTCTTATCTTTATGTTTCTATTATGTATACAGTTGTATTTGTAAGCTGGGAATACCAGAAAATGGCATGTCACTGTATTTGCAATGGGATTTTTCTCTCCATCTTTTAAGACTTACAATATGGATAAAGATTATGTCAGTTTTGCTATTTGTAAATCTTCTTTCCAGTAATAATATTCTGATGTGTTCTAATATGTTTGCATCTAATGAAAGGTTTGACACATTACTGACAACTCCAAGGTATCTCTCCAGTATGGACTGTCTGATGTCTTATAAAATGTGACTCCAGGGTAAAGGACATGTCACATTCCAAACATGAACTGTATGAACTCTCTGATGATTCCTAAGACCTGAATTGCAAGGAAAGAATTTGTCACATTGCATACATTTGTAGGGTTTTTTTCCCTGTATGAACTCTTTCATGTGTTCTAAGTTTTGAGTTCTTGATAAAGGACATGTCACATTGTTTGCATTTGTAAAGACTCTCTCCAGTGTGAATTTTCTGATGCTCTCTGAGAGTCGAGCACTTAGAAAAAGATTTGTCACATTCCTTACAACTGTAAGGTCTCTCTCCAGTGTGAACTCTCTGATGTCTTCTAAGTTCTGAATTCCAGTTAAAGGACTTGTCACATTGCATACATTTGTAAGGTCTCTCTCCAGTATGAAGACGCTCATGTATTCTAAATTGTGTCTTGTGGGTAAAGGACTTGTCACATTCTTTGCATTTGTAAGGTCTCTCTCCAGTATGAACTCTCTCATGTATTCTCAGTTGTGAACTCCGGGTAAAGGACTTGTCACATTCTTTGCATTTGTAAGGTCTCTCTCCAGTATGAACTCTCTCATGTATTCTCAGTTGTGAACTCCGGGTAAAGGACTTGTCACATTCTTTGCATTTGTAAGGTCTCTCTCCAGTATGAACACTCTGATGTTTTCTAAGATATGAGCTCCAGCTAAAGGATTTGTCACATTGCATACATTTGTAAGGTTTTTCCCCTGTATGAACTCTTTCATGTGTTCTAAGTTTTGAGTGCTCCTTAAAGGACTTGTCACATTGTATGCATTTGTAAGGTCTCTCTCCAGTGTGAACTATCTGATGTCTTCTAAGTTCTGAATTCCAGTTAAAGGACTTGTCACATTCCATACATTTATAAGGTCTCTCTCCAGTATGAACTCTCTCATGTGCTCTAAGTTGTGAGTTCTGGGTAAAGGACTTATCACATTCTTTGCATTTGTAAGGTCTCTCTCCAGTGTGAACTCTCTGATGTCTTCTAAGTTCTGCATTCCAGGTAAAGGAGACGTTACATTCCATACATTTGTAAGGTTTTCCCCCAGTATGAACTCTCTGATGTCTAATAAGATCTGAATCCCAGATAAAGGACTTGTCACATTCCAGACATTTGTAAGGTGTCTCTTTAGTATGAACTTTATGATGTCTTCTAAGATGTGAGCGAGAGGTATAGGATTTGTCACATTGCATGCAACTGTAAGGTCTCTCTCCAGTATGCACCCTCTTATGTCTTCTAAATTGTGAATTCCAAGTGAAGGACATGTCCCATTCCATACATATATAAGGTTTCTCCAGAATATGAAGTCTTTGGTGTATTTTACAACTGGAATGCTGGTTGAAGGGTTTCTCACTAATGTTGCTGTGGCCGGGTTTATTTCCAGTATGAATTCTCTCATGATCAGTGAGGTAAGAGTCAGTCCTGAAACATTTCTTGCATTTCCCACACTGATGTGGATATTCTTCAACATAGATTGGCTCCTGCAAAAACCTGGATGCAGAGCTCAAAGTGTTATCACCTTCTTCCTGCCTGTGATATTTCTCTGCAGTGCAGAGGCTCTGATCTTGAATTAAGTTGGAACTCAAATTTAAAGATTTCTCACAATCTTCAGATAGGCAAGGTTCTTCTCCAGTGTGCATGCTTTCATGTCTGTCTGGGTTTGATGAGTCAACAGAGGCATCGCTGTGATTACTGCATGTGTAGTTATTGGAGTTTTCTGTAGTTTCACTTGTTCTATAAAGTGCACATGTGGAGGGGTCATGAAGCACTTTGCCAAGCTCATTACACTGACAAGACTCCTTTTCAGTCTTCACATGCTGATGGACAGGATCACATTTTCGATAGTTCTCTGCAAATGAGAAACCTCAGATTCATATGCCTTGTTCCAATAATAAACCTGTGATAAATGAATGTCTTCTTAATTGTTATTTAACATAAGTAAAACTAGAACTCTTGAGATTAGAGCTCCCAGTAAGGGACAGTTTTCATTCAATATAATTGTATGGATTCTCACAAACACAGCATGGCAGCCTTCAAAGGTCAGTGATTTAAAACTGATATCTCATCTTTCTCAAAATATCTAACTGGAAAAAGATGAAAAAAAATAATTGATGATGGTGAATTAGCCTAAGGATATAGAACACTGAGTGTTTATATTTAGAATACATGTTTCTATCTTTCAATATTTCTGTCTCCGCAATTAATGAAGAGGAGTGTAATCCAATCCCAGGTTTACAGTATTTATACTTAGTAATGGATGCAAAGACAATATTCTACCAAAAATCAGAGGCTTTAGCTTGTTTCAGCCGGGGTTGTCATGGGAAGCTATTGATTATTTCTGTCAGATAGTCTCAGAGTTCCACATACTACTATGTTTCATAACTTTCCTCATAGGGTTATTCTCAGGTCCACTCTGACTACTGAGATTATTTTGTAGAGAATGTATATGCATTCACCATAAACGGTATAATAGGAAGTTATGCATACAAGGAAGACAATTACAGAATAACATTACTTCAAAGGCCCAAGATAGACTTAAAAATTTGAAATATTTTTTGTGTCCAATTTCAGCACAATCAAATAAGACTGTATTTGTAATAGAATTAAGTCATCACAATACAGGTGTAATAATGCAGAAAGCCCTCCACAGTCATTACAACAGACAGGATGCATCCTGCATCAGGACACTACACTAAGTTAAATGACCAGGAATCCTATCAAGTGAAATTGAATATCAAAAAACATTCTTAGCTCTTGCTTTCTCTTTCACTTGAAGCCTTCACTGTTTTCTTGCTTATTCACAAGTCCACTCTACTTGAGGCTACTCCTTTCTCTCTTCTTTCAAGGGCAATCTCATTTGTTCCAGACAGTTAATCATGATTACCTTGTATGCAATAATCCACCAGTACTTCCAGGCAGTCCATAACCCATGCCAGAACTTTTAGAAACAATACAGAAGTCTAACACAGTACTGGGCTGAGTATATGACAACATAAAGCAGAGGACTTAAATAAGTTATCTGGATTGATATTTCTTGTCAAATTCCTCAGTATATTTAGTATTTTCCATTTTATTTGTCTTGAATTCTTCTCACAATAAAAAAACATGTCTATTGTGATAATAGACAAGAAGCTTTAAAACATGAGTGCAAATGTTATATGCTACTGAGTCTATGGATGAATCTTGGAACCAAAATATAAAGTGGAATGGAAATTGGAAAGAGAACCCAAAATAGCTAAAAATGTGTTTCAAACTACTAAATCTGCCTTGTCTCCTCTTTGTAATTTCAGGACTTCTTAACAAATTTTACAACCTATTTAGCGAAAACAAAAAAAAAAAAGATACGTTGGTCATTCAACAAGCAAAATATTCTCACCCACAAAGTCCAGGTTGCTGTAATTCTCCAACATCACATCAATGCACAAAGCCCTCTGACCAGAGTCGAGGCATTCCCACTCCTCCTGGGAGAAGTCCACTGCTACATCCCTGAATGTCAACACACCCTGAAACACAAAAGAATGGTTTGACCAAGTGCTACTTGGATGTGCTTTCCTGGATAGAAAAGGCAACAGAGTGTAGAGGAGGAACTAAGATAATTACTCAAAAATAGCATTTCTCAATACATTCACATTCTATCACGAATGATGTAACTTTGTAAAAACAGGATGAAATAACAGTCTTACAAGCAGTATACATGACACAAGAAATAAATTTAATATCTAGACACAGTTATCTATCTGTTATGTATGTGGTGTTTATGTCACATAGGATCCTATTGTACATGTCTCTGCTTTAAATGCTGTACCTGTAGATGATGATAAAACACTGACACAAGAATCTTACAGAACACCAAACAGACTGGACCATAAAAAGACTTCCTTCGCAACATAATAATCCAAACTCCAAAACTTCAGAATAAAGAGAAAATATTAAGAGCAGCAAAGGAAAAAGGCCAAGTCACATATAAAGGCAGACCTATCAGAATCACACCCAACTTCTCAATGGAAACTTTGAAAGCCAGAAGGTCCTGGATAGAAATCCATGGATGCCAACCCAGACTACTGTACCCAGCAAAACTTTCAATCACTATAGATGGAGAAAACAAGATATTCCATGACAAAACCAGACTTAAAGAATACATATCCACAAATCCAGCACTACAGAAAGTTCTAGAAGGAAAACTCCAACCCAATGAAGACAATTACACTCACAAAAATATAGGCAATAGATAATCCAATTCTAACAAACATGAGAAGAAACAGGAGGGGGAAATCCACACACAATGACACCACCAACAATAAATCCAAAACAAA